GGTATATATGAGAGGGAGGGAAGAAGAAACTGTCAGACTTTCAAGATCCTGTTATTTGTAGCCTTGACCAATAAAACAGTGATCTAGTGTTTCTCGTAGTTTCCTGGCTTGATCTACCTTGAAGGGCCAACATCTAGCTTGAAAGCCTCACAACTCTCTATTCAGAGTGGCGCCGAATTTGATCCTGACAATGGTATCTGATCCTCCAGGCACCCCACTGTTTTAAAGGGTGGACACTGAACAACAGCTGACCAGTGGTTGGCAAGGCTGCAACAGCTGTGGGTGTCCTGCAGCAACACAGTGAAGAGGGAGAGAGAACCAGCTTCTCTCCTGTGCATTGTGGCGCAGTTCGCCTTGCACCTTATAGCTGTTCTTTGGCTGCTTTTGAATAGGAGCTTGTTCTAAGCCTCTGACCTAAGGAGATCCTGAGAATAGCTGATAGCTGGGCTTCCTTTGAATACACCTGGGCAAAACAAGCATGACTTTTGAGAGATCGCCCACCAGTCTAACTGCCTGCCAGAAGTCACCTCCTCCCCAGACGCGAAACCATCCTGTCCCAAGCAGAGGAACCGAGGGATGTTTTCCCATGGACTGGTGACATTTCGGGGGAGGAATCCATCAACCCCTATCATTAATGTGGCCTGTATGCACTTAGACTCAGCAGTGAAAGAGATTTCATCAAGTCATATTTCCTCCAGTGTATTGGCAAGATATTATGGGAACCAACTATAAACTCACTCCATCTTGTATTGTGGTTAAGGGGTCGGACTAGGGGTAGAAAGGCCCAGGTTCTAGTCTATCCTCAGCCATGGAAGCTCAGTATGTGACTTTGGGCTAGTCCTTCTCGCTCCCTCAGGGAGAGCAATTTATCCCTCAGGGTCTGTTGCTGTGGGGAAAAATTGAAGGACAGAATGTAATGTACACTACCTTCAGCTCCTAGAGGAAAAGCAGGATAGAAATCTAACAGATAAATAAATAAAAGTAATTTCCCTCCCAACAAGGCTCCACATGTAACACCTCTGCTGTGTGAGCTGCATTGGGTGCTGGTGTGCTTCCAGGTCCAATTCAAGGTGTTGGTTATCACCTTTAAAGCCTTGCATGGCATGGGACCAGGCTACCTGAGGGACCGTCTCGTCCTGGTTACATCTGCCCGTCCCACCTGGTCCGGCAGGAAGGGCATGTCACGGACCCATTGGCTAAAGAATTCCGACTGGCAGGGCCTAGGAGAAGAGCCTTTTCTGCCATCGCCCCCACCCTGTGGAACATCTTGCACCCTGAGGTGAGGTTGGCCCCCACTCTCCTGGCTTTCTGGAAGAGCATGAACACCTGGCTCTGCCACCTGGCATGGGGATCCAATGGGGGCTCACAGCACTGGAGGTGGTTGGTGGTTTGATGATGCCTTCCCCGTCTTTTAACCCTGTGTGCATGTGCGTGTGTGTGTATGTATGTGTGTGTGTATGTATGTGTGTGTGTGTATGTATATGTATATATATATATATATATGTATGTATGTATGTGTATATATATATAAGATTTTTTATTGTTTTTATTGCTTTTTTATTTGTAAGTTGCCTAGAGTCACTTATATAGTGAGATGGGCGGCGTAAAAATTTGATTCATAAATAAATAAATAAAATAATTGACTATAGCAACTGGGACAAAATTCCAAAACTGGATCAGAACCCAGGTTGAACAAGACATTCAGTGTCATTCAAATATGCCTGGTGGTTCTACATCCAGGACTCAAACTCTTTCTAACTGGCCTGTGCTTGGAAAACTTGTGTTACATTCACAGCTGCCTCCTATGAGGTGGCTTGAATCAGAGCCCCCACTCCATGCTGGAACTGCTTGGTCGTCCTCCTTTGCTTGGATGGCTAGACTCCTGGGTCGTAGATATCCTTTGCCTAGATGGATTAATCCTGAACAGGCATGGTTCAGACATACAAATGGTAGGCAAGATCTCTCTTGATCAATGTTCTTCTAGGTTGCAGCATCTGAAATAACCAAGCAAAATCATCTGGAAAGGCAAAATTGAATATCCTTCACTGTCAATATCCAAAACGGTATCAGAGTCAGAATAGGTGCAAATGATTTTATACATCAATTGTCACATTGTGCTCTCGAGGGTTTAAATCCAATAAAGTCAAACCCTGGTTACTCAGTGTAACCTGTTCAGTGGCACCTACCCCTCAGACATGATGGCACAGAAATTGCCTTCTCCCTTCTTATGCACACACTGGAAAGAGTCCTTCAGAGTTCTGCTTGAACTTATCCACACTTCTCCTTGTGTTCCACCTGCTGAACATTATCATCTCAAGTACCCGTGAGCAACCATGGAACCCAATGGGATTAAATGTGTATATTCCAGAAGTGAGATATCCCAGGATATCTCCCAGTGGCCTGGGAGTTCTTTGGACCCCTGGTTTGAGTTTGCTGCAGATTCTCATACAATGGATATCAGGAAACCACCTGGATCCATGATTTCTTCAGGGAGTGTTTGTCCCCAGTAACAGCATGGTTGCTGTTCATAGCATCAACCACTTGTTCATCCACTATCCCATCCCTTGCTCTATGTAATGGGTTCAGTGCATTCAGAGAAACCCCCATTCCTATCAAGTTAGCTAAGAAATCTTGAGTTTCCCTAACAGAGGTCTCAGCACCATGCTGGAGTCCAATCAGGGCGAATTTAAGATGATTTCAGAGTATTATAGTCAATATGGCAGTGGAGTACAAATCAAATAAAACAATAAAAACAAATTTGAGACAGGTCTTCTTTATGTCAACAGGCTGAAACTTGAATAAGTTATTTTTCTAGCCTCTTTATCTTTTTGAGATTCTGTGGTTAAGAGACAGCCTGAAAGTATCCGGCCTACAGTCCCTCAGCTGCCTCCAGCTAGCAGAATTCCTTCTGCCCGTTATAATACCTCCCTTCCACTCACCCTCCTACCTTCATCAGCATTTTTTTTTCATGCCTTTGAGTCAGTCTTGACTGCTGGTGACTGCCTGGACTGGTCCCTGCAAGTTTTAGAAGTGGTTTGCCATTGCCTGCTTGCTAGGGCAGAGAGGGAGTGACTGGCCAAGGTCACCCAGCTGGCTTTGTGCCTAAGGTGGGATTAGAACTCACGGTCTCCCGGTGTCTAGCCAGATGCCTTAACCACAACACCCAACTGGCTCTTTCATCAGCAATGCCAGAGGCAATATAACCACCCCAACAGAGGGGAATCTTATTTTATTTATTGGGTATATTTATATGCTGTTTTTCTTCCATCATGCAGCTAATGGCCAGGTCACAGTGGATACAACATTCATCGGTAAAGAGTAACTAACTCTACTTGTCCATAATCAGGGTGCAAGATTTTCTCACCTCCTGGCCTCCGGGGCATGGGTGCTGCCCCAAACTCAGAGCAGTGGCCTGGGAGTTCTTGGACCCCTGGTTCGAGTTTGCTGCAGATTCTTTTATTTTAGAGTTTTCTATGCAGTCATAAAACCACATCCTGTGCACTCAGAATGAGCAGCATTGCCACTTGTCAGATCGGGAGGGGCTCCTGTGCATTCAGAGGAGCACTTTTGCAGCAGAAACTGACCACTGCATCTCTAAATGGCCATTGCAGTCCCCGGCCAAAGTGTTGATCCTGAAGCTCATTTTACAAGAGGGAGGGAGGGAGGGAGGGAGGGAGGGGTTATTTCACATTTGCGTTCCTCTCACATTTTCCCTTTCCCTTTTCTGGATTTAATACTCTTCCTTACTCCCCCAAAGAAAATCTGTTAGGGATAGTAACAGGAAATGGCTGCACTGTATTTTTTCAAGGTCTCTGTTAATACACCCACATGCTCCTTTGGGGGCACCTTTTGAGGTGCTGGTTAATTACCCCAGTCCAGGGTTTCATGATGCTTGGCTGAAGAACCCTTCATATTGGAGGGCGTGTTCCATACAGGGCACATCACACTGCCTTCCAGGCCAAATCCAAACAAGATTTCCACAAGCAGCTAATTGTTTATTTGAAATCTACACACACAACACAGACTTGTTTAATGAGGCAGTGTCACTGTAAGTGCAAACAGATGCTTGACACCAACAAAATCTGGCAGCCTTGGTATCTGGAGAGGGATGGCAGATGTGTGGAGAGATGCTTCGTCTCCAGCGGTTTGCTCAAGGGTGTGAACTGGAACTGTTCTCACTGAGCCAAACATTGCCATGAACCTGCTTCTTAAATTTGCTCTTGTTCCTGCCAGTCTTGCACTCAGGGCACTGATGATGCTGTTCAGTTTTGCAGCCAGACTACTGGCAACAACTCTCATTGCTGGGCACTTCATATCTATTTGTGGTTCAGGCCGGACAAAGTTAAGATCCAGGGTGCAACTTCCCCCTTGTTTTTCTTGTGTGGTTAATTGCTGTAGCACAAAAGCTGTCTCAAACTTTGTGCTTTACAGGATCATAGGCTTTATCAGAAAGCAGGTTATTCATAGGATTCATCAACAGGAGCTCCAGACCCTCCTGGTATCATGGATGTCTTCTCCTGTTTTAGATAGCACTGAGATGTTAAGCTGCAGCATCAGTTAGATTTGAAAGCTGACATGGTTTCTTTCAGAAAGCAGATGCTCCAAAGATGCTTGCAGAAAGTTCTTCAGGTATCCAGAGCAATAGAAAGGGAAGGAAGTGAGAAGCCAATCCTTAAGATTCAGTCAACAATTAACTACCTCACTTTTTCCTTTCCAGCTTTTGGGCACAAGCAGAAGACACCAAGCAGATGTGTGCTTGCTGTGCGTAGGCCCCAGGTGGAAGAGTTACCTGCAAACTCGCCTACTGCTTATGGGGTGAAAACATGTGGCTGGCAACTTAACGTTTCGGTAGCCTAGAACTTGGTCACGAGGATGGTATCTCACCAGGCATTGTGCATGGGCGCGTGTTTCTGATCAAGCTCTGCATTTGTTAGGAGAAGGGGGGGTAGGTTGTACCACACGCTTGTCTTCTGGCCCTCCAGCCCTCCTGCTGCTGGGAAGTTACTATGCAGCTTGGACTGTGTGCAGTGGTGGTTTTTCTCAGCTTGGCGGATCTTGCAGATAGCATCAGCAGCACCAAGACCCCAAAGGGCAAACGGCAAAGACGAAGTACGTATGACCAGACCCCTTTTGAATGGCTCTTCTGAGGCTGCATTTTCAGGCTTCCAAGATGCTCCCAGACATTGGGGGCAGGGGTGGGGAGGGGGAGGTCCAAAGGGATGGGCAACAGAGAATCTGCCCTGTTAAATGTGATGGAAGTCTCCATCGTTCTGAGGCAAGAGCAAGCCCCACCTTTTGCCAAGGCAACCAAGTGATTCTGGCACTGATTCCTCCAGGGGATTGGAGAGGATGTGTCCTTAGAATCAGAACAGGCCTGGAGCTCGGGGGCCTGCTCCCCAGATCTCCTTCAGCCCCCTCCCCCAGTTGTTCGGGATAAATGGCATGGCCCGTGCTGGCTCAAACAAGCAGAGCCTCCCAGTTCTTGGCCAGCCTGGATCAGCGCAAGAGTGTGCTGAATAAATGGTCTGGACTGATCAGCGATGGGAAGCTACAGAGGTGCCTGTAAGCAGAAGGACTGATAAGCTCTGTTTCCATCTGAGTTAAAGGAAGTGGGGGAGGATAGGCAGGGGTGTGTCTGTGTGAGTACGTGTGATGCACGTGTGCCTGAGGGGAAGGGCAACCATTGGATGTCTGAAGACACTCCAGCCTCACTCAGCTTTCACCTTCTTGTTTGGGCTCCCTCCAGAACCCTTCTGGCCCCTGACGGTGAGCCCCTTTTCCTATCCTTTGGTGATCTCCCAAGTCTGCAGCCTTGAATGGCTGAAATCTGTAATTCTCTTCCAGCCAAAACACACTCCAGCCCTCTTGTTAGGAAGTGACGTGTCTGATGACAGCAAGAGAGGACTGGGATGGCCTTTCCCTTTTCCGCTAGTCTCACAGGGCTGAGCATTGCCACTTTTAGGGCAGCCTGCACATCCTTTAAAATCGCTTCTACCTGTAATGGAGGGGAAGGTGATGGGGGGGCAGTTGTGATGGAGGGAGGGCAGCACTGCCATTTGCTCTGGTTTTTAAAAAGTCAACCAAATGTGTCCCCTCGCCACCATTCTGTAAAATGGTGGATTTTTCTCTTTCCGCTCTGCTGAAGAGCAGCTAGGGCTGTGCTGCAGGCAACGCCCTGCCATGGCTTGAAGCAATTTGCCTGCAAAGGAAGAAGTTGTATTCCTGAGAAGCACCACAAGAAGTCTAAACAATCCATTCATAACTTTTCGTGAGCCTTGAAGAGAAGTGGCAACATGCCTTCAGCCCTGTTTCAATAATAATAATCAGTTCTGAATGAGTATTTTGTTTTTTCTCAGGTATGAAATATTGTTATTTAAACTCTGAAAAACGTGTATGAATTTAAGAAAATGTGCATTAAAAATGCAAGACAAAGATGTGCCTTTATTGCACATGAGGTGGACACTACTGATGAAAGTGGGATGAAGAATGGGATCCTAAGCAAACTGCCCCATTTCATGGCACTTGGCTAGGATTTCTTGTCCATGCTGTGTTTCCCCACAACCACAAGGTGCTGGAGAAATGCAGCCATAAATGAGATGGCTGGAACCTTAAAGCCATAGGGACGTACCTCAAAAGAACACCCAGAGCAGCAAGAGCAACTGCATTGAGTAGTGAGAAGTGCACTGATCTTTACCAACGTCAGGCAGCCCACCTGGGTTGCCTCATGCAGTGCAAGTGTTGCTCAAAGCCTGGCCCGAGCACCCCTGCCCTGTTCAGTGTGGCAATTCCAGTAAGTAAGCTTGAATCCATCTCCAGCTGAGGAGGGTCAAAGAAAACAGTAAGCAACCAAAGGAAATGTATTAGGATCTACCTGAGGTTTTGAATTCGTTTCTTTTCTGCAACAGGGCAGCTCCTGTAGAGGAGGAAAAGTTTAGGATTGGTTTCTGCTGGGGACCCATCAGTTGTCAGTATGGATGAACCCAAATGCACTTTGTCATATTCCCACAAACCCAGCAGGTAACCAGTTTCTCTCTCTCCCTCTTTCTCTCCTGGCCCCAGTTAGCACCGAGGTCAGCCAGGGCTGTGCTAAAGGCTGTGACCTGTGCTCTGAGTTCAACGGGTGTCTCAAGTGTTCTCCCAAGCTCTTCATCCTCCTGGAGCGCAACGATATCCGCCAGACTGGGATCTGCTTGCCCTCGTGTCCACTGGGCTATTTTGATGTGCGCAATCCTGACATGAACAAGTGCATGAGTGAGTCTTTGGAGTGTGGGAGGAAGAACAGTTCCACACCTTCTGCTTCAAGCCACCGTCTACTGACAAGCCCAAGCTTTTATGAAAAGTGTTGCCATAGGCAGCAGTTGTCCTTCATTATACTGTACAGTAGTGCGGTAGTGCTGCTTTTGCACTTACACCTTCAGGTTGTCTTCTCTGCTATTCTTGGTTGGGGAGAAATTGACACAGACCAGTGATGCTCAGCAGTGAAAGCACTGATACGCATTGAAGGGAACACTGAGGAGCTCCCCTGAAATGAAAGGGATCTGATGGATCCTAACCGGTGCTCCTGTAAAGGGAACAGAAAAGGCTCTTTTGCATAACATAGCTTGGATCTCAGGGTGAGGAATGATTTCTCCAGCATGCCCCCTAATAAATTGTTCTTTTTAACGTACTGATTAATGAGAGAACAATGCAATAGGCCTATGCAAAAAAAAGGAAAAAGGAAAAAGGAAAAAGGGAAAAGGGAAAAGGGAAAAGGGAAAAGGGAAAAGGGAAAAGGGAAAAGGGAAAAGGGAAAAGGAAAAAGGAAAAAGGGGAGGGAGTGTTCACTTTGGCTCCTGAACTGAGTAAATATGCAGAAGATTGTTACTGCTGTTCAAGAAAGGGTTCCTTTCAAAAAAGTCTTAGCATACAGGATATCCCCCTTTAGAAAGCCCTCTCAGTTCACCTTTCACTCAGACAGCGGGAAAGGACCAGACACGCTTGTTCTGCACAGAGAAGGAAGGCCCCGTTAAAAACACCCGTGTAACACTCTTGTACCAACCGACTGCTGTGGTCCTGGCACCTCACGGTTTTCTGCCTACAGGCTGCATCACCCTTACTAACACAGGGGACTCCATGAGTCTCTTCAGTTTGCATCCAGGAGCAGGGAAACCAGGCCCAGTATCCCAGGGGACAGACATTGGATTTGAAGGGGTAATTCTTGCAAGTTAACTCTGATTCTCTTCCACCCAACACAGAATGCAAAATTGACAACTGTGAGGACTGTTTTAGCCGAAACTTTTGCACAAAGTGTAAGGACGGCTTGTACTTGCACAAAGGAAAATGCCATGCCATCTGTCCTGAGGGCTTCTCCGTTGCCAATGGCACGACGGAATGCAGCAGCCCTGGTGAGTGTTGCAGTGGGGCAACGGCCAGGGTTTGTCCGGTTGGATCATTGTTGGGTTGGGAGGGCAAGAGGGGCAGCACAGGTCGCTGTGGTTGCTGCTATGGCTCCAAGCAGGGCATGGTGGCCCCACAGGATTAGCCAAGGAGTTTAGGAGCAAGGCAGGTGAGGACTTCCTGGGTGAGAGGAGGAGGAAGGTGGAGGAAAACGTGCCATCTGAGGTGAAAATACCCCTCCTCTCAATGAGGGCCTTAGTGGAGAAAGTGCAAGGAGTCCTAACTGAAAAATATGGTGGTGCATGCCAATTGTTAGAGGTATGCGGACATAACAGTGAAGGTGTTCCAGACTGTTGTCCACTGAGTTATATGGTGTGGAGTTGATATGATATAGAAGTTCCACTGGTGATGGGGTGGGGGGTGTCGCTGAGGCTTCGGTGGATGGGTGGGGGCAGGTCAGTGAATGAATTTTCACTGTGATAGGCTATGGGAGGTATGATGAGGGTTTCTAGCCCATTGGCCTGCTTCCTTGGTCTGGGAAGCCAGACTGTTGGACATGTTGACCTCGGACTGCTGTTGATGAATGCTGGGCCTGGGCATAAGAAAACCGTCTTCATCTACAACCAGGTGGATGTGTGTATCATCCTGGCATGCATTGCTCAGACCTGGTGGGGTGAGGAGGGGAATACAGCCATCTCTGAGTTTGGCTCTTCCAGATTTCAAATAATTTACTCTCTCCATAATTTTGGCATGGGGATTGCATGGGGGGATGGCATGGGGATTTTTTCATGACAGCTTAGCTATGACCAGATGGACTACTCTGTATGTAACCTGGCATGAGTGCCTTTATATGAAGTTGGGACATGGGGCAAGTTAGGGCTATTGTTACCTGTCTGAGCTCTTGGGGATTTTATAGCCAGGCTGATGTTACAGTCTCCTAGGCTATTAGTTAACAGGGATTTCAGTATTCTAGAGCTCAGAGATAAGAGCACTGGCCAAGATTGCTTCTGAGTGACCTTTCCCTGTTTGGTGATCCCAAGGTTTACCAAGGAGCTTCAGGAGTTGATGTAACTGAACAGCCTAGAGCAGGGGTCCTCAAACTTTTTAAACAGGGGGCCAGTTCATGGTCCCTCAGAATGTTGGGGGGACGGACTATAGTTTGAGGAGAGGTGGAGAGCCACTGGGCCCGGCATACTG